ACTGCAGATGGGGCCTCACTAGGGCAGAGTGGAGGGGGAGGAGAACCTCCCTTGACCTGCTGCCCACACTCCTCCTCATGCACCCCAGGATCCCATTGGCCTTCTTGGCAGCCAGGGCACGCTGCTGGCTCATGGTCAAACTGTCGTCCACCAGGACACACAGCTGCTACTCCTGTTCTTCAATCCCTACATAACTTTCCCTTCACCTCAAAAAGAAAAGTCTTTAATGTGTCCTTCCCTTAAAATAATCAAAATGCCTCGGCTGCAACCAATGGCCAGGACCTTGTGGAACATCGACAAACCCCGGCTGTGCTCGGGGGCCTGCCGCAACCCCGCTGCGGGGTCTGCCCGGCGTGGGACAGCGTGGCACGTCTTGCGAGCCAAGGAGAGGCACCTGGGGCCTGGCAGAGCCGCGACCGCGGCGGAAAATCCGCAGGTCTGAGTCTCCCACCTCAGACTCGCAGCTTTTTCACGTGCGTGCTGCAGTGTTTTCTACGCTCTTTAATTCTGCTGCTTAAAGCAGCCCTGGTATCAAAACTCATTGTGCAGAGGTAAGCTGGGAATGATCCGAAGGCTGGGAGAGCTGGGGCTGCTCAGCCTGGGGAAGAGAAGGCTGCGGGGAGACCTTGTGGTCTTTCACTACTTGAAAGGAGCTTGTATAAAAGCTGGAGAAGGGCATGTAGTGATAGGACAAGGGGTGATGGCTTTCAACTCAAAGAGGGTGGATTTACATTAGATAGAAGGAAGAAATTCTTCACCATGAGGGTGGTGAAACACTGGCCCAGGCTGCCCAGAGAAGTTTCCCCCTCCCTGGCAGTGCTCAAGGCCAGGTTGGATGGAGCTCTGAGCACCATGGGCTGGTGGAAGATGTCCCTGCTCGTGGCAGGGGGTTGGGACCAGGTGGTCTGGAAGGTCCCTTCCAACACAGAGCGTTCCGCGATCCCAAGCCGCGGTCCCTGGAGCCAAATCGGCAGAGCGGTACTCACCCCTGTACGGGTCCTGGGGCGGGTTCAGGTCCGGGGAGGTGGCGGACTGGACGGGCAGCTGGGGGACCGGGACCTGGTTTGGCACGAGCGAGTGGCTCCCGCGGAGGCTGACGCCATCCTCACGATGC